ATGGGCACCAAAGTCTGCATGGGTGTGCGGGCAAGCGAGAGGCTGGTGTACAAACTTTCAGCTACAAGATGAATACATGAAGATCTAATGTAAAATAAAGTGACTATAGTTGATAACACTGTATTATATAATTGAAATTTTCTAAAAGGCTAGAACTTAAATGTCCACATATACACACTAACTGACCAATGTAAAACAGAAAAAACAAAACAAACAAAAAAAACTTTGAAGGATGCTTAGTCAATCAGGAAGTGGATAGGAAAGCTAGAGATCAAGCTTAGAGGACAAGCCTACCAAAACCACAGCCAGAGTTTCCTTATCATACAGTAAAGTTGTCTTCAGGGGCTCAGATGACATTGTGGCCCTTCAACAGTACGTAGCTTTTGTCCACCGCCATTAATAAACTTCCCTTCCTGTCCCTTGATCAGATTTAAAATCCCAGGCAAAGCATCCTGTCAACTGAGCCTGGGTCTGTCCCTTTTCCCAGGACCATCTTCCCTCCTTCGAAGAGCAGCCTGCCCCCAATCGGGATCCCCACCATGGGAACATGTCCCTAAATAAGGAAGGTTTGGATCTTAGGCTGCCAAAGCAATGAAAATGTCCACTAAACTGACTGAAAGGGTTCTGAATCATTGCTCCAGAGAATAACCTTCTGTAGAATTTTTAAAATATAACTAAGATCGATTCTTGGCTGTCTGAAGTGGTTTAGATAACAGTTCCTCCGTGAACCAGAGATGGATTGAAATATAATATGTTCCCACCCAGCTATCATCTCCTGAAATGCTAGAAATACCTTCGTGTCAATGTCTTCTCATAAGAAGCCCGAGAGCTGGAATCTAGAATTACAATTCTTTTTTTTTTCCCCCCAGGATCTTGCTACAAAGAATTTGGTAAGGAGATGCATTTCCTCCCCCAAGTCGGCTGTCTCTATTTGTAACTGATACTACATACAGCAGGGAAGCATCTGTGTTTCAGAAAAATGATGTGTGAAAACAGTTTTCAAAAATTCACGTTTTCTACATTAAAAAAAAAACTAAAAATATGTTTGGTTACCACTTTGTAGAGCCTATTGAATTTGGCTGTGAATGGGAATCTAATTGCCATCCGTTTCCATTGGAGCCTTCTATGAACATGACATTTCCATTAAAAAGAGAAGTCAGCTATAGCTTTATGGTTTATGCTGAAATCATAAAAAAAATTTAAGGACTAGTTGGTTGTTTAATAATTTATATTTCTTCTCTATGGCCCATTAGAGGAGATAAGCAACACCACAGGTACAGAAAATACCATTCGTGTTGGCGAAGGTAGGAGGAACATTTGAACTGAAGTGTTACAAATAGTTTCCTGGGTTTGAATGACGACTACTGATTATTCTCCCATTTCTCATCTATAACCGGAGAAGACCTTCTTTGTCACTTGTTCTTGTTACTGAGGGACAGTCACCACAGCATTACCACTTGCAGGGCTGAATTTAAGGGCTGAGGGACCCACAGTCTGGGTTAGAGGGGCCAAATTTAAACTTCACTTGAGGGTGCCTGGGTGGCTCAGTGGGTTAAGCCTCCGCCTTCGGCTCAGGTCATGATCTCAGGGTCCTGGGATTGAGCCCCGCATCGGGCTCTCTGCTCAGCGGGGAGCCTGCTTCCCCCTCTCTCTCTGCCTGCCTCTCTTTCTACTTGTGATCTCTGTCTGTCAAATAAATAAAAATGTTAAAAAAAATAAACCTCACTTGATGCAGAAGTATCTGTTCATTGCTCTATGCATGGCAGGAACAGAGGATATCATATTTTCCTTAACTTGCAAGCTGGATGTCCATGAGTGGCATCCCTTCTCCTTCTCTTTCTAGCTTTCCCTGTTCAGTAATTTGAAGACCAGTACCCATTTGTTGAGTTGGACAGTCTGTTTTTAATGATTTTGTTTTTTCCTTTGACGAGCCCTTGGCCAAGGGAAGGCACTATTCCAGCAATGCACATAATAAGATTTATGGTTAATAAGGTAAAAGCAGACAACGATGCCAGATTACTTTTCTCAAGCACTGCTCCAATTAACATATGCGCTGATGAATTTAATGTTCTAATTAAGTCCAGAGTTCTACCCCTAGACTTCAAGAGTCTTCACTTAATGGCCTCTGCCGATCTTCTGATGTTTCATTCTACTATTGCCCTAAATGAACAGTATAGACCAGCTCAATGGTTTTCAGTCCAGGCTGCACATCAAAATCACATGGGGAGATTTTTTTTAAAAATGCTGATGCCCAGGGCTCCACTGCATGTTAGTTGAATATGAATCTGGGGTGATGCACAGGCACCAGTTTGGTTTTTCTAGGTTTTTGGAGTTTTTAAAAGCTCCTTATTCTGGTCATCTATTGTTGCAAAACAAAACACTCAAGACTTATTTGTATAAAACAGAGAGCATTTCCGAATGCTCCCAAATTCTGTGGGTCACAAATTCAGAAGAAACACAGCACTGATGGTGTGTTTCTGCTCTATGATGTTGGGGTCTTGGCTCAAAAAACCACAATGGGTGGCTCAGTGGGTTGAGGCCTCTGCCTTCGGCTCGGGTCATGATCCCAGGGTCCTGGGATCGAGCCCCACATCGGGCTCTCTGCTAGGCGGGGAGCCTGCTTCCCTTCCTCTCTCTCTGCCTCTCTCTCTGCCTACTTGTGATCTCTCTCTCTCTGTCAAATAAATAAACAAAATCTTAAAAAAAAAAAAAACAATGGCTAGGCGTGTCTCAAATAGCTAGGTGCTGGAATCATCTAGAGGTTTCTTTATTCACTTTTTTATGGCTTAGACTGGGATGCCTCAAAGGCTAAGCTCAGCTGGTGGTGTTACCCAGCCTGTCTACATGTGCTTCCCCATATAGCCTCCTCGAAGCACACGGTGGCTCAAAATAGTCAAATTGCCCCCAGGAAGCCCAGGAGCAAATATTCCCCTGAAAAAGGTGGAATTGTGGGGCCTTTTACATACCTAGCCTCAGGTGGCACATAGCATCACTTCTGTTGCATTTTATTCATCAAACAGTCAGGATCCTTCAGGGGAGGGGACCCTCTTCTCTATAGGAAGGAAGAACGTCAATGAATTTGTGGCCACGGTTTTTTTTTAAGATTTTATTTTTTTGTTTGACAGAGAGAGAGCACAAGTAGGCAGAGAGGCAGGCAGGGAGAGAGGAAGGAGCAGGCCCCCCCGCTAAGAAGAGAGCCAGATGCGGGGCTCCATCCCAGGACCCTGAGATCAGGACCTGAGCCAAAGGGAGAGGCTTTCACCCACTGAGCCACCCAGGCGCCCCTTGTGGCCGCATTTTAAAGTTGCCATACATCCTTGGTAAGTCCATTCAGAGCCAGAGTTGAGAACAACTGGATTGATGTCCTGCAAACACTGACCTGCAGAGCAGGACTGGGATGCACATGAAATGAATGAGGCAGCTAGGGTGCAAAATTGAAGAAGGCAGTCACTCTCAGAATCATGCAAATGCAGGGGAACATCTCATTACATGTGGTGCCCAGGCGCTTTCCTGGCCTCATCCTGGGCATGGTCCTGCTACAGAGCACCTGTATAGGAATTATGAGTGGGAGCAGGATTTAGATTCCTGAGTCTCCTACTTTCCTATTCTGATTCAATAAGCCTGGAGTAGAGACTGGGATTCTGTATCTTTTTAAAAAATCCCAGCGGACTGATTACAGATTCCATGTGTTTTCCTGGTACCATGCCTTTGTTCAGGCTGTTCCCTCTACCTTGAATGTCTTCTTCTATTTCTATCACCTATGGAGTATCTACCAATGTTTAAGATCCATTTCAAATACTACCCCTTTTATCAAGCAAAGGAACCAACAGTTAAAGTATAAAACCATACCTCCTAAGAAACCCATAGCCCTTTATATATGACTTAAGACACATTTTGTCCTATGTTGTTTGTGGACGTATCTTCTAGAAAGAACATATTCCATTTCTTAGGGGGCCACAAAATGGAGATCTGGATCCACCCCCACCAATTCTCATAGGTAGGGTCCTGTTAAGACAAGATGCGATTGTCTTTGACTCATCTTGCTCCCAGATTGTTCAACTTCGTAACCCACACAGCAACTGGCCTACGCCTTGCCCATTTTAGATGTCCAATAAAGAGTGGATATTATCCTCTTCTGATGAAAGGAGAGATTCCCATTTTTGCAGGGTTTATAGAAGCCTCCAAATATTGAATAATTACCCTAGTTTAAATGCTTAAGCATAGACAGGGATTGAATTCTTTACTGTGACTTCTATTTTGGAAAATTTCTGCTTGAACTTTACCTGATAATCATTTCCATATACTAAAGGTTTGTTTGTTTCTTTTCCTCACTCTGTGCAGAGTCCATAGCACTCACTACCTTTGTAGGTGGTTAGCCCACATTTAAGCCTCGGAAGACTTTTAGGTAAGCACCATCTTTGTGACCATTATACTGACAAAGAAAACTGGTGCTTAAAGATTTAACAACCTCCTAGATCAGAAGATAACAGAGGAACTGAGGCAGGTTTGAAACCCAGGGCTCCAAGATTCCAAAACTTAATGATTTAATGCCTACGCCAATCCAGACCCCTACTAATTGTGGTGGCTATTAGACCCACCCACTTTGTGGAGGGTGGGGCAGACAGGTCCGCTTGGACGAAAAGCAAAGTTGGCAAAATCAGTTCGAATCTCTCTTAACTCGAATGGTTTCCCCCGTGGGTGTAGGCTCGGGGGCGCCTTGACTTCGCGCTTTGGCTCTCAGGACACACGCCCTCGCGTCGGTACCCGTCTGGGTCTGCCACCTCCCGGCTGGGGGCGTGAGGGTTGGGCGGGGGCTCCGGGGTCGTCTCGGGCGGCGGCCAATGGCAGTGCGGGGGTCAGACTCCGCTCCCCGCGAGGGGCGCAGCGGTTGCTAAGTGCAGGGAGGAGACGGATCCCGTGCCAGCAGCCGGGGGAAGGGGGAGGCGCGAGCGAGAGCGCGTGGGAGCGCAGAGGCCGGAGCCGGGAAGGGGGAGCGAGCGGAGAGAGACGCCGGGGAGGCGCGCGGGAGCGAACGCCAGCCCGGGAGCCGGAGCCCCGCAGCACTGCGGCCGCGCCCTTGCCCGGGACTGTGCGGCCGCCCAGGCCCGCTCCGCCCGCCGCCGCCAGGGCTCCGAAGGATGGAGGACTCCCGGGAGACGTCGCCGTCCTCCAACAACTCCTCGGAAGAGCTCAGCTCTGCGCTGCAGCTGTCCAAGGGCATGTCGATCTTCCTCGACGTAAGTCCAGGGCGCAGGAGTTGGGTCGTTGGTCCCCCGGCATCTTTCCTCTTCCCCGGGAGGAGGGCGGGTGGGTCCAGGCGCTGCTCAGCAGCTGGTCAGCTGTTTTGTCCCCAGAACGCCAGCGAGAACTACCACCTACCTTGCTCCCCCAACCCCCTGTAAACGCATCGAGCAAATGAGGGAGAAATGACTCTCATTCAACTTGTAGAAAGGGTTGCACCGCACCCGCAGCTCGGCGCTTAACAACCCTGAATGAACGGCAGAAGTTAAATTTTCCAGCGACGTGAGTTTCATTGGGGACTCGATGTGTAACTACAACAGTCTCCATTCAGCTGAAGAGGACTAATGGCAGGAGGGAACATTAACTCAACTCCTTTCTGATGTGCCTTGTTTGCAGCCCCTGTCTCCCTGAAGCTCAAAGGCGATGGGGGAAACGGAGATTGTGATGCCACGCCACCCTCCCCAACCCCCACAGAGAACAATTACTTTGCAAACACACTTGTTTTCCTGTTTTACACCTCCTTCATGATGATACTTTTTTCATTGCCACCTCCTGTTGCCCCCTTTTTCTCTCCTGTTACTCTCCTTCCCTACACCTCTCCAAGTTTCAATTACCATTCTTCAATTCTACCTTTTGACTGTTCTTCCTTTGGGCCTCTCCCCCACCCCTCCTTTCGGGATTGAGTCCCTTCCTTATTTTCTGAGATGGTGATGGTTCCTTCTCATTCTTGGTTTTCTTTTTTCCATTTTTCTGCCCTCACGCTGGGGTTTTTACTTTTACAGCAGTTTTGTTTCTTATTTATTTCTCAATTTTTGCTTTACTGTCCCTTTCTGCATTTTCTGGTTAGTTATTTATTTATTTATTTATTTATTTCACCTTGTTGCCCAGCTCTTTTCTCTGCTGTTAGGATTCACGGTTTTCCTGTCCCTCAGTTCCTGCTCCCTCTGCCCCTCCATTGTCACATTTACGCTGTTCCCTGGAGGTAGTTGCTGGCTCAGTGGGGACAATTCTGGCCCCTTCTCATTTAAGCGCAAGAGAAAATTGGCAAAAGGTATTGAGGAGTGCTTGTGTGTTCTTTCCTCTACCCTTCCCTGGGACCATTTCTTATGAAAATCCAGCTATATATAAAATTAAAGTACATTTATTTATGGAGAGATGAAAATGTGAGGAAATCAGTTTAGCAGCATCATAATGGTGAAGCAGATGTCATGAAGATAAGGGGGATGGGGTGAGGAGCCCTCCCAAGTTTATTTTGAATGGATTAGCTAGGATTTTTTAATTGGGAGAGAAAACCGTATTAGTAGTTATATCTGGTCTAAGGCAAATGTTGTAGGTAAGGCTCAGCTGTGTCTTCTGGCAGCTTCCTCCCCTCATTACCATGCAGTTCTAGTTGGAGATCCAGGCTTTCCTGGCAGGCCATCTTCCCACTGAAACAATCTGATTCCCATTCCGGGCCAAAAAGCCCTTGAGGAAACCTTGCTGGGAGAAGGGGGGCACACAGCACCCCTGAGAAAGGACTCTTCAGGGTCCCAGAAACGCATGTCTGTTATGAGGTCAATGACTAAGCTCCCGGAAAGTTGATTCAGAGAAGGCAAGAGAGCCCTCTATTCATTCTGGCCTGATCTTCACTCGTCCCCCAAGGATATCAAGTGCTCCTCTGTGACTTTCTTAAAGCAGTGAACAAATCCTGGTGATACTGTAGAGATGGAAGGATTGAACTGTATAAATGAAGGTCATCCTCTTTGACATACACACTAATCTTGGCCCAACTGTTCAAGCTGCTATTCAAAAAGAAAAAAAAGAAAAATGAGGAAATTAAAATCTTATTTATTATTGTATCTACACGATTGATCTCAAGCTCTGTAAATAAATAGCATAAGGTCCCCGTCCTGAAGGAACACGTACTCTATGAATAGGATACCCTTACCCTCTTCTATCTATTTCTAGAATTTAAAAATAAAAATATAAAACTGATTTCACATGAGAGGTGTTGACATCCTTGTTTGCCAGTAAAATGTTAGTGTCTATAAAAGAAAAAAAACTGCCACTGGATTTTATGTCGAATAGGAAAGATTTTGTTTACACTTTTCTTTGAGATATTTTGTGAAAAATCTACCACTCTGGTGAAATATATGACATGAAAAAGGATTTACTTGGGGATTTTTGAATTATTCATTTCTGGATCATATTGCTTTTAGCAAAAATAAAATGTGAAATATAAATACATAATTTATTTGATTTGTTTTAATATATTCTAGTAGCAGTGCTAAAAAAGATTGCTTTTTGAATTCCATTCAGATTATAATAAGAAAATAGATATCCCCTATTCCAAAGAGGAACAGGAATGAAACCCATTAGGGCTTTCTGCATCACACAGACTAATTTCCAAATTTGAGGAAAACTTTGATTTCCAGTGTTTGTATTCCAATGCTGCTGTAATAATCAGTCCTCTGAGAAATGATCTGAACTGCTTTTGAGGATACTGTTGATGACATGACTAGGCATGTCCAGCTGGTAAGAAAGAAGCCATAGATAAAAAATCAGGGAGAGACTTACCGTAACTATTGGCTTTTGCTTCATTTTCTTTATGTCCAAATGAGCAACAGTGATGACTATGGTACTTAATTCTAGAGGTTGTTGTATTAAGTGAGAGTTCATAGGATAAGAAAACTGAGAAGAAAAGGGAAATGTGCTATATAAATTTGAACTATTATTGCTACATCAGTGTTCCCTTTTGAATGCCTAAGTAGCAGTAGCCAAATCCACAAATTAATACAGACACTGTTCCATTATGAATCTGGTGTATATTATTTTCTGTCTTAAAAAATGACAGAATGATATCTCCGTTCATCATCAATACTCTTGAATGCCTCCTGGGGGGCTTAGAACACTCAGTGTCAGTAGCAAAGCAAGGGCATGCACTGTAGCCCACCTGCCGCTGGCAGGAGAGGGACTGCGCTGGGTTTCCTTTGCAGCAACGTGGAAAGTCCAGGACCAAGATGGTTTTTTTCCGTCTTAATACCTGCACCTTCTCCTTTCCCAGGTTAGTTCATTTCAGATAGCAAAGAATAAACTTTACAATCCTAGTCTGTATAGCATGTGGCCCCTCTTCTGAATCTTTACATTCATCAGCTCTGCTCCTGTGCAACGGGAGAAAAACCAAGCACGAAAAATGTGAAGTTGGTTACAGCGTCACCACTTGATGCCACTGTCTTCTCTCAAACAGTTTTGGTTTTTAGCTGGAAGGGCAGTGGCCCTTCCTCATTTGACTAGAGGCAGAAGTGGCGCCTGGGAGGTTCTGAAGGCAAGAGATGATTTTACTGTTTGTCTTCTCTTCCTTCCCCCAACCAAGCATGCATGCCCATGAACTCTGAACAAAAGGCACAGTGCCTGGATGGTCAGGGACTTGGTGAAAACAAGAGACAGCTTTGCTTGGCAAAGATACTGAATTCTGAAGGTCTGTACATATGCATGTATACTCATCTGTAGAAGACATGAGATGGGCAGGCACTGTCAGGGCAGAAACCATTTTTCAGGGGCGCCTGGGTGGCTCAGTTGGTTCAGCAGCTACCTTTAGCTCAGGTCATGATCCTGGAGTCCTGGGATCGAGTCCTGCATTGGGTCCCTGCTCAGTGGGGAGTCTGCATCTGCCTCTGACCCTATGCCTTCTCATGCTCTCTCTCTCTCTTTCTCAAATAAATAAATAAAATCTTAAAAAAAAAAAAAAAAAGGAAAAAAAGAAACCATTTTCCAGGTATAATGGTTCTGTGACCGAAGTCTGTTAGAGCCGCATACCTCCTATCTTGCCTAGCATGCACTAGATAATTTGAGTGAGATTGTTCCGTTGGGAAAATGGCAGGTAACCCTCTCATCGTCTACCCTAATTGGCCAGGCAGATACCACTCCTAATTTTAAGAATCTGCAGAAATAAGAGAAACTTGTTTTTAGTGTTATAATACATGTAGAACTGCTCACACAAGGCCTATTCTAGGCAAGATTAAGAAGTTAAAAATGTATGCACATACCTTTTCTCCATTCCTCATTTAGTGCCCACTCCCCTGCATCCTTTTCATGGCAACTAGCAGAGAGGTAGCAAAACCGCCTCCTGGAGGTCAAGGTCTGCTCTCTGTGGTTTACCTAGCAGGTCTTCCCTTCTGGAAGCCACTCCGTGTTCTGGACGAGTGCCAACTGCCCTGCCCTCTATCCCCATTTCTCAGGAGGCTGACTGGCACATCTCATTACTTAATTTTAACCTGGTACAGAGTAGGGAGCACTTAGCAAATATTAGTTCAGTAAATAGTGACTGTCAGTTTTTTAGGCCTCCGAGATAACATTTGCCTTTTTTTTTTTTTTAAGATTTTATTTATTTATTGGACAGAGAGAGATCACAAGTAGGCAGAGAGGCAGGCAGAGAGAGGAGGAAGCAGGCTCCCCACCAAGGGAAGAGCCCAACGCGGGGCTCGATCCCAGGACCCCGGGATCTTGACCTGAGCCGAAGGCAGAGGCTTTAACCTGAGCCACCCAGGCGCCCTAACATTTGCCTTTTAACACCTGCCTTCAATAACTTCAGATGAGAAATGAGGAATTTCAATGAAGGCCATCAAAGAATAGCTTTTGGGGTAAAGGATGCTATTTGATAAATCTTAAATTGCTGCAAAAACACAGCAAAACCTGTGCATTTGAGTTTTAATGGTGACCATAATATTTATATCTATTTACGATCTATCCTGTGGTGCTAATTGGTAAGATGACTATGAAGGCGTAATGTAATGAGCTCAGTTTTCATCTGCAGTACATTTTTTATTAATCTGTGGGCTCAGAGGCAAAATTTGCAGCAGAGACAGTCCTGTTCATATTTAACTACAAAGAACTGTCTTAAAGAAAGCTACTGTCTTAATTTCATTGCTAGGAGGCTGAATACTATTTAAGGCAGTTGGAAGTCAGGGGTCCGAGTCTCTGGTGTATGGTTATTCCTCTTCTGGTTACTCATAAGGACCCAAAAGACCTTGAAATAGAATCTTAGGGCATATTAAAGGTAAGAATTAGGCTGTGTTTTATGTCTCCCTCTCAGCTGGGGCTTCATAGTTTCAAAGGAGAGGGGGAAGCTGGGAATGGTAGATGAATTCCCAGAACCCCCACTGGAAATTACCTCTGTGGACTAAAAAGAATTTGTGTCTCATTCTGTTCTAAGCATAGAAGTTCTTATGACTGAAAGTAGTTTCCTTACAATAACTAAATAAATTTAGTTGATAAAGGGGCACCAACTTATGCACACAAGTCAGGATGATACATATCTTTTGTTGGAAATTTCTCATTGGTGAGATTTTTATGAATCATATTCATATCTTATAATAAACACATTATAATAATGATTAGATTTAAGCATACTTCATCTTTGTAAAGTCAACAGAAGGAAAAAGAATAATGTTTGTATAGTAGAAAGCGGTAAAACTATGGGAGTAAAAACTATTGCTCATGTTTCAAGCTGCCCACCAAGAAGTGATGACCTAAATTTAAGAGTAGCTCTGGTTACTTAACATAACTGTACATTGCTCAGAAAAATGATCCTCAAATATCCCTTTCATGTGATTCAAGGTTATCTTTCCAATATGATAAAGGGACATTTTCTTTGGTACTATATATAACATAGCTGTGTGTTGTATTTTCCAGATTTTTTTTTTCTGTACATCTATACTGTCAGCTAGGGCTAATTTGATTGTTGTTAACAGAAAGAAAAATAACCCAAACTATCTTAAGATTTAAAACAATAATTTATTGACTCCTGCAATAAAAAGTAGAGATCATCTTGTCAGGATGGCTTGATCAGAAGCTCAGAGAGTGTCACTGGGATCCACTTCCTTCAGTCTCCTGATGGACACTGGTTTCTTGATGGCTGGTTCCATTCAGGTTATATGTTGTATTGGTTTCCTATGGCTACCCTAAGTGTCCTTCGCAGGGGGTGCCTTCCACAACCAGATGTGTTCTATCAGTTCTGGGGGCTACATGGGTGCCATCAAGGTGTAGGTAGGGCCTCACTCCCTTGAAAGGCTGCTGGGGAGAATCTGCTTGATGCCTGTCTCCTAGCTTCTCACAGTGGCCAGTCCTTTACGTTCCTTGGCTTGTAGCAGCATCATACTGATATCTGCCTCCATTATCATATGGTCTTCTCCGTCTTTTCTTCTCTGAATCTCACTTCCTTATAAAGTCACCAGTCTTTGGATGTAGGGCCCACCCCAATCTGATAAGATCATATCTTAATTTGATTACATCAGCAAAGACTATTTTTCAACAAGGTCACCTTCACTGTTACTAGGGGTTAGGACTTCCACGTTTGTTTTGAGGCAATGCGGTTAAACCCATAATGGATACAATAATAGAAGGGAGGACAGCAGCTTCTTACCTGTATCTTCTCAGGTGCAGAGTCAGCCCCAAGAAAATGTGTCTGTCTTGATAATTAAAGGAAAGCCATGGCCTTCCTGTGCTTCTGCCTGAGGAGTCACTGTGGCCAGAGCGATATGACACCTTGTTTGCCAGGTCCGAGTGCTCTGTCCAGTCCTTGAGCTCGTGGGCCAAGAGAAGAGAAAAGACTCATTGCCTAGAAAAACATTTTGAACTCATTATCCAAGATAGCGCATGGCCAAGTAGGTCTTAGCCACCAAAGATATTACAATTAATGCAGAGAAGTAAAGTAAGATTTAATGTAGGTTCATGAGCTATATCCATAATTTCTTATTTTTTGTTCCTATTTATTCCCAGTTTATTGAGCTATGACTGACTTACATTAAATTGCACATATTTAAAGTGAAAATTTGATGAGTTTTTACATATGTATATGCCTATGAGACCATTACCATAATCGAGATAATAAATACATTTACCACTCCAAAAAGTTTTCTTGTGTCTTTTTATAATGCCCTCCCTGCTCATTTGTATGCAACCCCTTAATCTTTCTGTCACTGTAGATTTGTTTGCATTTTCTAGAATTTCATATAAATGGAATCTATAGCAGGTACTTTTTCTGTATCTAGATTTTTACTCAACATCATTACTTAGCAATCTATCCAAGTTATTGTGTGTATCAAGAGCCCATTCCTCTTTATTGCTCAGTAGTATTCACTGTATGGATGTGCCACAGGTTTTTTGTCCATTCACTTATTCAAAGACATTTGGGTTGTTTTCAGTTTCTCATTATTATAAGGAAACATCTCAATTTGGAAACCTTTATTTAAAATTGGAATTTCCATGGGACGCCTGGGTGGTTCAGTCTTTTGAGCATTTTCCTTTGGCTCAGGTCATGACCCCAGGGTCCTGGGATCGAGTCCCACGGAGGCTTTGCTCAGGGGAGAGCCTACTTCTCCTGTGCCTGCTGCTTCCTCAGCCTGTGTATACTCTGTCTCTCTGTCTCTAGCTCTCCCTCTCTCTCCCTCTGACAAATAAATAAATAAGTAAATAAATAAATAAATATTGGAATTTCTTTTCTTTACTTATGGGCAAATTATGTGTGAGTATAATGTTCACTACAAATGCAAAAAATGGTAATAAAAGTTTTCTCTTTTCTCTTTCAGATACTGAGGAGAGCAGATAAAAATGGTAAGACCAAAAATCTGCAGTTTCTACTTATTGATCTCTTACCTTTTACATCACCTTCTAAAGAATATTGTGGAAGAGAGAGGACAGCCCAAGAAATTGATACATAAAATGTCAGCCTCTGGTACTAATAAGGGTTTTAGGCATGTTTATGGCTCCAGATATTCATGAGAAGTTGAAAGAGGTACTTAGGTTTGACAGGAAGATGGAATTTATGCCTTTGAAGTGAGCAGCTGTCATAGCTCCAGCTTTTCTTTTTTATGCTTTAATATTAAAGTAATAACAGCTTCTATTCATTGAGTGTCTACTGCATGCCAGGCACTGGGCCAAGTGCTTTGGGTTATTTCTTAGGGTGAATAAGATAGAGATCTGAGGCTGGAACCCTGGGTCTGTGTGGCACCAAAGCCTAGGCTGTCCATGCTGAACTTCATGGTGGCTTTGGGGGCTGCTGTTGCACTCGAAGGTGGCTACCTGGAAGCCTGTGTTGCCACACTTACCTTCACTCCATGGTTCTCAGCCATTGCTCTCGCATTTGAAGTGTATATCGCAGGACCGATAATCTATAGAGACAGAGAAGTAAGAGAAACTAGAAGAAAAAAATTATTCTGTCGGAGGCATTACAATTTCAATGATGCCTGCACAAAGTCCAATTATAAGCTGTCATAAGCAATATCTTTTGACGCTTACCCAGTACAAATTGTGTTCCGTAGATACTGAATAAGAGAGTATATTTTGCTGCTATAGTACAAGTACATCATAGAGCTATAGTCTTGACAGGACTTTCTCAACAAATTTAGGAGACAAAGAGTTCTTTCCTTTTCTTGAAATCAGATTGCTTGTCTGTGGGGAAGGATTACAGGCAGAGTCCAGATCTGACACTTTTAAAAACATTTTTTGTGGTCAAGTGAGCCCTTAAGCAGCCCGATCAAGAAAATCTTGATTGGCACTATATAGTTTTTCCCACAACAGAAAATATATTACTCCAAGGAGCAAAAAACACTGGCCCAAATGCTGGTAATATTTAACTGTGCCTGTCCTTAGAATGTTTTCTCAAACCGTGTTACAGGGGTTAATATATTATCAATTCAAGAGATTTTCTTTTTTTTTCACCAAAATCACTTGACCAATTTTTAAGACAGATGAAATAATGCTATCATTTTGTCTCCTTGTCCTACTTGTTGACCTTGTGCCTGACATGCAAACCCAGTGATGCCCAAAACATGGCTGAATAGTCCATTTGGCTCCATGCTACCTGCCTCGGATTTCAGCAGCCATTTCTAGTTCAGGGATGCCTTTTCTCTCTCTCTACCGAAGCTCCTAGTTTTCTCAGGCTATGCCTTCCTTTCCTGGAACCCCAAAGTGTGATTGAGGGTCATTATTACCTTTGTATATTATCTTACTCTTCTCTCCATCAAAACTTGCTTATTTTGGTGACCTACTATCATAATCCATAGTCCTAATGAAAAGCACCTGAAAAACCAAATTCATGATTTACTGCAGTTTATGATAACCTCATATGTTATGAAGAATGGTCCCTTGGACTAGGAGCCCTGTGTGGGCCTATTCCATCCCAAGTTTTTTGAACCTGCCTCCTTCCTGCATATGATAGCTCTTGTCTCCTCATTCTGTGTCCTAATGCCTGCTCTTAATGTGCCGTTAAAGCCACCTGCCTTTCTGCCCTTATCTTCACAGTGCATCCTCTTCTGCGTCTCTCTGAAGCACTAGGGATTCTCAGAGTGTCACTCCATCTGTCACAGCTCTGTGGTGTCCTTGCTTGGACCGCCTCCTGCTCTACCTTCCCACTGTTAGCCAGCTTGAGAACTCCTGTGTACTGCTTGTGTCCTGCTCAAAATGTACCATGTCTGAATAGCCTTCCCCAGCTCCCCTTGTAGGGCCCCGCCCTCTGTCTGGGCTCTCTGCACTGTGGCTGGTACGGATTATTTCCTTTTGTGAGGAACACGGTTGTTTACTGGCGATTCTACTTCCTGAAGCCAAGGGCAGGGAACTTGTCGTACTTGGCAAGGAACTTGTCATAGGGTTGGATACTATGCCCAGTCAGTATAGGGCTCGATGGATGTTCCCTTAATGAATTAACAATGGCTAATGACATTTTCCTCCATGACCCGTCTCCTTTCCATCTATCTAGTCTTTCCACTGCCTTTCATCCTGCTTTACTCTTCTCCCTCATTCTCAGTGTAAAGTGAGGGGAGGGCAGAGATAGGCATGTCTGGGTTTAAATTCCAGCTATGCACCTAGTAGCTCTGTGACTTTGGGTAAGTAACAAACTCTTCTCCCTCAGCTCTCTCATCTACAGAATAGAAATCATAGCATCTATGTATGTCATGGGGTTATTATGAATAATCAATGACATAACAGATGTAAAGTCCCCGGGGAAGTGCATGGTACATAATAGCAACTTACACCTGCTTTATGTGGGGTTGTGATGCCTTGGCTATTGGAAACACTTGGTGACATTCCAGTCATTTCTGTTTCAGTGTTTAGTGGGGAAAAGACTATTTACCATACATGCAGAATTGAAAAAAGGAAAAAGTATAGCGGATAATCTAATGTAAATGAGAAGATACTAGCATTAAAAAAAAAATCTTTCTGAACCATGTGTTCATTCCATTCTGTATTTGCAAATAAACAGCTGTTACATTTACATGTCTCTGGATAACAGACCCTCGTGTGACAGAATCCCTTATGGACGGCATAATTGGTGATGGAGTAACAGCGGGAATAAGGGGTCATAAGCAGTATGATACTTAGCTTACCAGAGTGTAGATTTAGCTTCTGGGATCTATCTGACACGAGAGGAGCTGCGGGAGACATGGGTGGGGAAAAAAAATACATGATAGCAATCAGCTACAATAATGGGTCTTAGATTAATTTGGTTTTGGTTGTTTTTCTAAAATCATAGGCTAGGATCCTATACATAAAGACAGACCTCAGAACAGGATAGATTAGAGGAGTGCTTTGATCTAAAGAGCCCAGAAGTAAGCCTAAAAATGCAAAACTCCTGAGAAAGCTTATATACATGCAGGTAGAATGAAAATGGAAATGATACATGGGTATTTGTAAAACTTGCAAAAAAAATTAATTTTACAAAAAGGCAAAATGAAAAGGCTCATAGTAATTAATAATGCCTTGACTGCTTTTGCCAATGTGGCCTTGCTAAGATCTGCTGTCATTCTTTTTTTTTTTTCCTTAAGATTTTATTTATTTATTAGAGAGAGAGAAGGCATGAGAGAGAGCAGGGGCAGAAGGAGAGGGAGAAGCAGACTCCTCGCTGAGCAGGATCCTGATGAAATGAGGGGCTGGATCCCAGGATCCTGAGATCATGACCTGAGCTGAAGGCAGACACTTAACCAACTAAGCCACGCAGGCGCCCTACTCTGCTGTCATTCTTGACCAGCAAATAGGCCGTATGGGTGGCTCTTTTAATCCCAATCAATGACTGATCTCTGTAAGAACTGATCATAGTTCTTCTCAGTGGCTTTTTAATCTATTCCAGCAGCCTGTACATTATAAATCTATGAGGACAGAGAATGTGCTTATTTCACATAACACCAGGCCCACCATGGTGATCAACATGCCTGTCGGGAAAGACAATTATCATGTTTTTACTCATATGAGGAATATAAGAAGCAGGGCAGGGACCTTAGGGGAAGGGAGGGAAAACTGAATGGGAAGTCATCAGAGAGGGAGAAAAACTATGAGAGACTCAACTCTAGAAAACAAACTAAGGGTTGCTGGAGGGGTGATGGGTGGGGGATAGGGTAACAGGCTGATGGATATTAGGGAGGGCATGTAATGTAATGAGCCCTGAGTGTTATAGGTAACTGATGAATTATTGGACACTACATCTGAAACTAATGATATACTATAAATTGGCTAATGGAATTTAAATTTTAAAAATGCCTATCGCAACATTGGTGTTCAATAAATACTTGGAAATCCACTTGTATGAGGTGCATGACCAACAGTCTGATACTGAGAACTGAAGAAGAAACACAGTGTTACAGGTCAGTTAATCAAACTAAGCCTTGTTGTAATTTATTTGTTGTTTATTAATTAACAGTATTAGCTAAAAACCTAAAGTTTCCATTGAAAACAGTGTTAAAACTAATAAATAAATTCAGTAAAGTTTCAGTGTACAAAAGCAATATACAAAAATCTGCTGCATTTTTATATCCTGACAATGAGCTATCAGAAAAAGAAATTGGGAAAACAATCTTATTTACAGTTGCATCAAAAAAGAATGAAATACTAAAAATAAATTTCACCAACATGATGAAAAACTTGTACAGACATTAATGAAAAACATTAATGAGAGATATTGAAAAAGAAATAAATGGAAAGAGAGTCTGTTGCTAGTGGATTAGAAGACTTAATACTGTTAAAATGTTTATATTACCCAAAGCAATCTAGAGATTCAGTGTATTCCCTTTTAGCAGAATTTTGGTGGCATTTTTCAGAATTAGAAAAAATAATCTTAAAATTGGAACAAACTACATCTGGCATTAAAAATACTAATACAGGGGCTCCTGGGTGGCTCAGTTGGTTAAACGTCTGACTCTTGATTTAGGCTCAGGTCATGACTTCAGGGCTGTGAGATTGAGCCCTGTGTTGGGCTCTGCACTCAGCACAGAGTCCTCTTGGGTTTTTCTCTTTCCTCTCCCTCTGCCTCTCCCCCAACTCTCTCTCTCTCTCAAATATAAATAAAATCTTTAAAAAATAAAGTAAAACTAAAAACTAAAAAAAAACTTAAAAAATAAAGTAAAACTAAAAACACGAATGTAAGAACGGTTGATGTTGAATCTGTGTTTGGGAATATTTTGAAGACTTCATTGGATCATTATATAACCTGTGCTAATAGATGAAGTGAGAATTGGTCAGAGCCAATTCTGACTCTGTGGTTGCCCAAGGTTTGGTTTATTCGATTAACATGTATAAATATGACCTCAGGTAGAGGCATGAAACACAGGTTTGGTAGTTGGGAG